TGGTTATATGAGTATGTGTCAGGCAGAGAGTCGGCGAAAGATATAAGGAGAGAGATAGTGGGAAGAGGGGAGGGGAGGGATACACTTTGTTGTGGCTGCTTTTAACTCCCTTTCTCAGAACTCCTGCCCTGAGGATGAATTCAGTGTCCCTTAGCATCACAGCAGATTCCTAAAGTGATTTGAGCAGGATTTTTCCTTCCAGTAAAACAGAAATACATCTGTCAGCACAGCACCTAAAGTGTATACAGTATGCACATAAAACACTACAATATGCATTATTTCAAAGACGTCTGAGCTACAAAGGGCTCCAGTCAGTCTGCAAGCATTTTTCTGTGTGTGCAAGTAGTGCTATGGGAGATTTGATGTTGTTCTCCGAAATGTCCAAAAACAATGATGATACTTGACATGACTGACAGCTTTAAACACCCAAATGTCAACTTTAAAGCAACACCCTTTTGTAGATTAACTTGGTAATTGTGTGCAAAGCTTAAAATTAAGAGACCTGTAAAAGCAGCTGTGAAATGGATTGCATGAAAATGTCCACCAAGTTGAGTTGCATTTCTGTTTGTGTGTGCATGCCTGTCTGTGTGTAACATTCTTTGCCTGCATAAGCCTATTCAAGAAAAAGCCCTTCTCATGCCAGCTGAGGTCAGATCCGGACACCACGGGGTACACTCTTCTCCTGCTGCAGTGGGCCAAGAGGCAGGGGGAGGCCTCTAGCGCTTCTGGGAAACAGTCTGGGCCTATTTGGAGCCTGACTGCTCTCATATGTCTCCACTTACTGGAGGAGACGGAGGATCCCGCTGTCTGGCCTATGAGAGCTGCTGCAGGCCTAGGCCTTTCCCCCTTCATCAGCATAACCACAGAGAAGTGAGTTCACCGAGCAGAACTGTCATGACAGCATGACTGAGTAGTGTGGTTGAATGTGTTTCAGTGCACTGAGGTCAGGTGTGGTATAGCGTTGTGCCACTTTATATTTTGTTTTAAAAGAACATTTGACCTTGCTACATCCCTCTGGTTACAGTTTTTCAAATATTTCCTTACAGTACAGTATGTACGCTCTCCTTCTATTGTTTCTTTTTAATCCATTCTGGGTTAAGACTGATGAAACCTTCCCTTCTACTGTACAGTAGATCATGTTCCTCTTCTCATGCACAGAAACCTCACCCTTACAAAAAAAGACGTGTGAGTACATTGTCTATTCATGTGCCTACTTACCCACTCTGCAGTGAGAAATACGAGAAGTGAAGAACAGCGCAGACAGTAAAGAAAACAAAGACCTCCATGCGGCTGCTTCCCCACCACCACCACCAGCGCCACCGCCACACATTCTCTCAACTTTTTTTTTCTTCATCTTGTTCTTGCTATGGCAACATGCCTCTCATTTCCCATCAGTCATGGTCACCACCTTGGCCCTGCTCTGTAATTCTCAAAAGCGTCATTGTCATTGTGTTTTACAGCTGTGGTGCAAAATATTGTTTGACTGCAATTGTGCAAAGATGGTTATGGGCAATTTCTCATCCACCTTTTAGAACAAAGCTCTGTTCATTTAATACAGCAGGGCGGACATTTATTAGTATGTTCTGATGCAAATCAGGAGTCTGTCTTGCTATTTTATCTTTTTAATGCACACCTGGAACAAAGTGTTTCATAAACTATACTCATGCTCCCCCAAAACACTGCAGCTGATAGCCCAAAGGAAAATATCATACAAATATGTAGAGCCTATTCATTTAGCCTTAATTTAGGGTGTAATTAGGTTTTAGAAATGTAATCTGTCGCAGATCAAAGGCTTTTGAAAGCAATGTTCTCAGTTTTTGCCTTCTGCTGCTGCTGCTCAGATAAACACGTCAACTTGAATAAACTCAGGTTTAAAACCAGAACTACTGTAGCTTTTTATTTTATCACTATACTGTGCTGTATGTGTGTGCCTCACATTTACTGTGAATGTAAAACTGGGACTGAAGCTAATGTGTATTATTAAAATTGCATTTGTAACAATTGATTACAAATATTAAGTTAAATGTAAGAAACAAAAACATCTGAGTCAGTTTAAAGGGGATCTGCTGCAACCTGCTTGTCCATCCATCATGCCTAATGTAATGTGGAAACAATGTGTGCACATATCTTTCACAATAATGTATCTACTGTTTTTCATGATAAGGGAATTTTCTCAACAAGCAGAAATTTAAGATAATTTCTTTTTCATACAGACATTTTATAATACCCATAATGTCTGAGGCAATCTTAGGAGACACCAACGTAAATCCAGCAATACGTGTGTTCAACTTTATTTTAGTCCAAATAACTACATGCATGTCTTACATCACAGTGTGTCACAGAATTTATGTCCTGCTGTTTCCTGAATGCTTGTTCTACTGAGAAAAAAGTCATTTCTATTGATTGCTTTTCCAGGCATCATTTAATATGATACATATTCACTTGTAAATATTGACCTCTCTCTGCTGCCCTGACATTTGTGCCATAAATACTTTAGAAGCAAGCTTGTGAAATAATATGAAATGTTATGAAGCTGTAAATCAAGGCTGGTTTTAAACTGTAACAGAAGACTATTTTTTTGAGGGTAAATGTGGCTGGAGGTAATTCAAACTTTGCATGATGTGTGCTGGTCTGAGTTGTGTGCAATTACAATAGAGAGGGGGATGATGGGATGCAACCATGTGGAAGTAGAATTTAGTATTTAATTAGTGATTGATTTGCAGGCTTTAATTCAGCTGTAATTAACAAGCATTATACAGACATGGCCAAAAATAATGATGCCACTGCATTTATGTCAGATAACGCACCACTTCTCCCAAAATATTTTTTGCAAACACAAACGCTTTGGTTTCTTGTGTTTATTTTAAGTCAAGTCAAGATTTTTATTTGCCATTTATGCATAAACAGACAGTCTAGGCATATAGGAATTCTTGTGCAGCTCTCTTCTGGAGACAGGTAAGGAGTCAAAAGCCAGAAAGAACACTTAGTCTAAAATAAAAAGTTACATAAAGGTAACAAAGCATTAAAAACCACAATACACAAAAATAGGGTAATAGTATTTTCCCCAGTGACCTTCAAACATCGCACCTAGTAATTCACATGGTGGAGTTGGATATGTCATTACACTTGTTGAGGTAGTGAGGGGTTATAACATACTAAAACACAGTTTATATTCAGGCCTGTTTACATTGCTTGGTACAAAATGTCCTGCTATTATTCAGGTCCCTCAAGACAACACTGTTGATGAGATGCTCTTATAAAAATACCTGGTGGAACATTTCTGTATTATTATTATTGTGCATGTCTAGTGAGGGGTTATTGCACATATTTTCTCACATTTTCGTATTTGCCATTAGTCTTACTGCGGCAGGGAAAAAGCTGTTGTAAAGTCTTGTTCTGCGTGTGAGGATACTGTCCGCCCTGCTGTGCCTGAGGCTCTGGGTGCAGTTTTTGTGTCTGAGCAGAGTGTGAGCTGGGTGGTGTGGATCTACGAGTATGTTCTCTGTCCTTTTACAACAGCGCTGTGTGTATAGTGTGTCCATAGCAGGCAGTTCAGTCCCAGTGAACCTCTCTGCAGTCTTTATGACCCTTTGAAGAGCCTTTCTCTCTGCCTGTGTGGTGTTACCATACCAGACTGTGATGCCAGTAGTGAGGATGCTCTCTACCAGTCCTCTATAAGCCTGGGTGAGAGGGTGATGGTTCAGCCCAGCTTTTCTGAGCTGCCTGAGAGCAAAGAATTGTCTGAGAACCACAATAGTAGAAAAGCCTGGACAGTCTCAAGGCTCCAAGTCCATCTCCAGAGATCTGGCTGCTCCTATATCCACTGTGCGCAACATTGTCAAGACGTTTACAGCCCATGATGCTGTAGCTGATCTTCCTGGATGTGGATGAAAGAGAAAAACAGATGTTTGAATGGTGGATAAAGAACCTCAATCAACTTCCAAACAAATTCAAGCTGACCTGCAGCACAGGGTGCAACAGTGTCAGTTCGCCCCATCTGAATGACAAGAGACAAGACCCAGGGGATCCCACTGCTGATACAGAAGCATAAAGCCAGATTGGAGTTTGCCAAAACTTACCTGAGGAAACCAAAGTCCTTCTTGGAGAATGTCCTGTGGACAAATGAGACTATAATAGAGCTTTTTGGTCGAGCACATCATTTTACTGTTTTCAGAAAACAAAATGAGGCCTTCAAAGAAAAGAACACGGTCCCTACGGTGAAACACGGTGGAGGTTCGCTGATGTTTTGTGATTGCTTTGCTGCTTCAGGCACTGGATGTCTTAACGGTGTGTAGGGCATTATGCAATCTGAAGATTACCAATGAAGTCTGGGGCTCAATGTAGGGCCCAGTGTCAGAAACTTGGGTCTCCAATGAACAATGACCCAAAGAAAACTTCAAAAAGCACCAGAACTGGTTTTAGACACTGTGATGGAGAGTTCTGAACTGGTCAGCAATGAGTCCAGATCTAAATCCCATAGAGCAGTTGGGAGAAGGAAGCCTTCAAATCGGAGACCTGGAGCAGTTGGCAAAAGAAGAGTGGTCCAAAATTCCAGTAGAGAGGTTAAGAAACTCAGAGGGTGTGCTACCAAATATTAAGTTGAGGGTGTCAATAATTCTGTCCAGTTCATTTTTGGAGTTTTATGTGGAATGTATCAGATTAGGCGTTTTTTTCCCTCAGCTATTTGTGTTGCTACAATGCAAACAAAAGAAATAAATGAGAATACCAAAGACTCTGTGATTGCAGCAATTTTCTGGAAGAACTGGTGCTTAATCTGACAGAAATGTAGGGGGTGCTGATAATTCTGACCATGACTGTATTATGCATGTAAAACTTACTTGTGTGCTGCAATACTGATCGTCTTTGCAGCACAGTGCCTGACCAGTCCTTATCACACACTGCCACCTGTTGGCGCAGCGTATAATGAGTATTTTCAGTTGTATAAACGACATTCACAGCCAGTGTTTATGACAAATCAATCTTTATTTCAGCTTAAATGAATGGCATTGAGAGGAACGCCAAATCAAACATTACTGAACAGAGTAACTTAATAAAATGGCACAACTAATAAACAAAATGAAAACAAAACACCCACTATACATTTAAATATGTACAACTTTGATAAATAAACCAATACTGTCTAGAAATATGATTGTTTTGCATCTTTCCTTATTTCTCTGGGATTAGTGCGCTGAGAGGAGTGAAGAAGAAGAAAACAGACAAACAGAACAGGCAGGGAGCAGGCACAATGACCAGCAGGCACAAGGAGAAAAGACAACTGCTTAAAGCACAACTCAGACTATATTTGCTAAATTGTACCTCAATGTACTTTTTGCTGTTTGACATGGTGATGTATCACTGCTGCAGCATGACCAATAGCCATCTTGCCCTCCATCTTTTGGTTCACCACAGTATGTTCCTGATACAAAAAGTAGTTTTGTATGGTTTCACATTGCACTTCCTGAGATGGATGACAATTTCTTTCCAGGCATAGCTTCAAATAACCACACATATATCTGTGCTGCATTAAAGCCTCTACAACAGTATCCAATATATTTTCTTATACATAAACGGCCTGAAGCAAAAAGAAATATACAATGATCAGTGAGGTTGGGCTGGAAGGATATAATTATTTTACCATTCAATAGGTAACCAAAGAAAAGCCATATTAAAAGTTAGGAAACAAACATTAAAGTCTGTGTGGGGGAATCTGTGGATTACTGTTGCTAACCAGCAGCATTTCTCATCATATTTCATCTACAGCACCAGGTGCAGCAGAAAAGTAACTTTTCTAACACATGAATTGCTTTTTGTAGTAATAGGAAATGGTCTTGTGTTTGAGACAAACTGAAAGCATAAAAAACAGGTCTGAGGGGAGAAAACAAAAAAGGGCCACATTCTGTTTTCCAGACATACTAAGACCTCAAAAAGAGGCCCAGTGTCGTAGACACTTGTCCCTTTAAAAGACACTAATCCCCAGGATGCATCTCAAGGACCTTCAGGAATTGAACAGCGAGAGCCAGATCCAACACTGAGACCTGTCCAGACAAGCAGACACCCTCGCCTGCAGCGCTACGTCTCCCTGCTTCACAAAAGCAGTCCAGTCTGGGACACAGATGAGGCTTTCATTCCTTGGATGGCTGTTATGTTGTGAACCAGATCCACGTCAACGCTGACATGGAAAGTTTCAGAACACTGTAACAATCTCCTGAGTGTAACCGTTTTAAACAGGAAAGTTTTTTTCCTTTTTCTTTGTTTTTTTAAGTAAAGTCACTAATAGTTGGCAGGTTATACCCAACCTCCCTCCAATATCTGACCACCTGCAGGATGCTGCAAGGCCATTTCATTTTACCAAAGAAAACTAACAAAAATGATCTGAGAGGACTCGACAGTAGCTGTAAAAATAGACATGTATTACACAACGTATCAGAGCAGAAAAGATCTTAACTTTTCTTTCATAAAGTGAGAATTATTTTGGTTGGGGTGCCACACCGTTAAGTTAAAATGATGTGGCTACAGGGGACTGCAAGAGTTTATGTATATTTTGTAATATATTTGCAACGTATATGGGAACTGGGTTTTGTAAAGCATTTTTGAAGGAAATTTTGCATAAGTGAGATTCCCCTTTGGCTTCACAGACAGAGAACGCACACAAAGCTGAGATAGAAAGAGAGACACATTCAGACACGAGGTTAGAGGAGGTTTTGGCTGTGACCTTTATCTTGAAACCCCAGCGTATTTCCTGTTTTTCTGGCCAATAGAGTCCCAGCGCCAGACCTCGTTCTGTATGTATCCTAGAGAAATCCCCTGGAGAGGTTTGAGGCAGACCTTAGGCGTGTGCACCGACCCAGACATGGCAGACAATTGAACCCTCTGCTCTGTTAAGTGCAAAGTTGGGAAGGCTAAGCAGCTCTAGTGCCTCTTCATCGATGATACCTTCTTTTTCCTGGCTGCCAGCATCTCATAAAAAGGGTCCCTGCTGATGGCAGCTCTGTGAACGCAGACAGAAAAATGTCAGAGAGAAAAGCATCATGGAACAAGTGTACAAACTGCTGCTATCTTAGACAAACTGTGTTTGCATGATAAGTGGTACTCATTATATTCAGTTTTTATTTAATTATCTGCAGATCTGAGTGACAAAAGACAATAATCAAGTGAAATTGTAAAAATAATTTAGGTCTTCTTCGGTCTGCGCATCCCTATGATATACAGTAACTGCTAACAACTAATTGGGAATACTTTTAATAATGACAATTTGAAGAAATGTAAACATATACAAACCCAAGTTATAGCCACAGCTACGTAACTGGCTCAATGGTGAGATTATACTTCCTGTTAGAGTCCCCAATGCCCTTAATCATGAGTGCTGTTGTGTTAAAACTTGGAGAAAGTTCCAAACTCGTACTGTTTTACTGTTTTGTGCTGTCTTAAAGAAGTTAGGAAAAAATGTAACATTTACTTGATGCTGTTCATCCATTCCTCTTTTTCCTCAGCAGTGGGGGCAGAGATACGGTAGAAGGTGTGGTTGCCCTCGACAACACGTCCGTCAGCCTCGGTTTTGCATGCTTTTATTACCTGGTCCTTGTTGTCGGGAATGAAAAGCTCAAAGCAGTTCTATTAGAAGTAAAGTTGAGGGAGGTTAGAAATATTTTTTTAATGGAATGATTAACTGTATTTATCAAAAATCACGCAAAATATTAAATTAAAGACAAGTACATAGACTCTTGAAATCTCATTAGAGCAAACTACTCAGCTCTGTATACTGCTGGAAGGACATAACTATGCTATGAAAATGGTTCTTAATATAAATTTAATTACCCATCAGTCTGGCAGATTTCTAGTTAATCTATCAATGTGCCTTTATTAACAACTACAAAAAATGGTTTGAAGTAAAATCCAAATGCAAACCCTTCTCTTTCTGTGTGTAATCACAGAATGAACCTGTAGAGGGAGCTGTACTTACAGGCTTCTTATCTTCCACCTCCTTAATGCTCAGGTTCTCTAGTGGGATGATTCCTCTGGGCTCTTTGTCCTGCACAGATATAAAATCTGTAAATGCCAAAGCACTGCACACAGGGAAACAGGAACTGAGTGAGTAGCTTCTTCACTGTGATTGAAGAACTGAGCTGTACTCACTGTGGTGTACTCAAAGTAGTACAGACAGTTGTCTGTGAGGATGAACCACCTCCTCTTCCAGGTTTTGACTCGTCCCCCTGTGGAGCAAACAGATATTGCAGCCTCAGAGACAGAAACAACAGAAAGCGAAGCACCGGGTCAAGCAGCAGACGGGCAGACAGATGTATGGGCAGACAGACAGATGACGGCTCTAGCGGACTCCTTTTACCCAGAATGCCCCACTGTTCATGCTAATCCACCATCACACCACATTGCACCATCTTTACTGCTGCATAACCTTCAGCTTTAAGGCTATTTTCAATGACTTTATAACAATTTATTCCCTTTTATTTATTGATTTAAGGACTCTTAGTAAAGTTTACCTAACAAGTCATGACCACTTTATAGTTAAATCCAAAATAGCTGATAAATGCCATATGAAGGCTAACTGGAGTTAATGTGAAAAGGCCTTTGATAAAGCTTCATCCCCATAAATGTCTAAGTGTGCTGGGAAAAACCGTTTTCATGCCCTGTCTTTCCTTTCCATAGTTGGTGACTCAGAGGAACAAATCTGAACACCAGGATCAATAAACAGGATACAGATACAGTATACGTGCTCTCACTGAACTACCACCAAAATGAAGTTAGTAGAGGACAGAAATTTGGAAAGCATTCAAATGGCTATACTATAGGAGGGCTGAATGTGAAAAGTAAGGCATGACTAGGAGGTCCTTGTCTCTTTCACACCCAGTGAGGGCTCTCTGGTTAACTCCGTGCTCAATGATCGATAGTTGACCCCTGACCCCCATTGTCACCCATACTTCCTGTGAAGGGAAACCTGATCACAGTAGCAGACGGCAGCCTTGCTGTGGCAGGAAGGAATGCCAACAGTGTGGGGCAGGAAGCTCAGCTACTCTACGAGTATTTCAGATTAGATTTTCCTGTTCCAGCTTTGTTAAGTAGCTTACACAGGAGCAGCGTCCAGTAAGTGGGGGAGGGGGGGGGAAACGACCTCAGCCTTGACTAGTCTAGGCTGTCCCACCACAGCTGTTGGTTAAAGCTGCACTGTGTGTGAACCCATCTACCAGGACAGAAGAGGCTTTGAGGACGTTTATATACAAACACGTAAAACACACTCGTATTATCATATAACAGCATTAGCACTGTATATGATATCCCATCACTTCACAAATGCCATGATAGTTCAAACCCTTCAGTCTATGCTTGTTGTCTATAGACGCCAGCGACAACACTTCATTCGACAGGCACATATGGACAGCCTCTTGACACAACTCGACCCATCGGTGTTGCAACAAAGAAGCAGACAAACAGAAAACACAGACGCAATGACAAAATCACTCGGCTGACAGCCTGAGAGCTAATTGGGTTGGTCAGGTACTGTCACTCCGAGAAGGAGAGATAACCTCCTCCCGTGCAAGAATGACTGGGACAAGGCGGGACGACCCAGAAGATTGTTGCAGGGGTTTGGTGGACTGTACTAGGCCGGAGTGGAGTAGAGTGGAGGGAGTCACCAGTGCAAGACGGGACTGTGAGAGGCTGGGTGAGCGGAGGTTAAAAGGGAACAGGTAATCTTATCAAGTTGTTGACAGTTTTGTTTTTTATTTTATTTTATTTTGGTGATGTTTCACACTACAATGAATCAGCAAACATTTCTCTTCAAACAAAAACGAATAAAAAAAGCAAATTACATTCAATTACCAATATTTTGTACAAATGCAGAGGGTCTTATTTTGTAATTAATATGAAATTTGCACTAATTACAAGAATGAGCAGTCAAATTACTAACCATGTGCACTTTAAATATATACTGACCATGCATGAATTATGTCAACCATGCCTGAATCCCTTTAGGCACACTCAGTTTGGTTCAGTCCAGTCTAGCACCACATGGGGCCACAGCCACACAGTTACCCGTCAGATTATTCCTTTCAGATTTACAGCATGAAATAAGGACAGCAGAGCCACATTATTGCAAAGGTGCAGTATTCCCTTTCCATGCAACCAGTCAAGCAAACAACAATAGGCCAGTAGGTAAATGGGTTCATGACCAATTTGGAAAATCAAACAAAAGTCCTTTGTTGTGCTCACTGAATGGAAAACAGGTATAATGCAGCTTCCAAAAATCAGAGCTCAAAGAGAGTGACCACCACAGCGTACAGAGAAAAGAGGGTCAAACGGCTCAGTAGAGTGGTCACAAAGCACAAAGCTCCCAGAGCCAAGCCCATGGGGTGACAAGTGCACCCGGTGACTGCCCAGCAACCACCCACAGAGATAAAGTGTGGACAAACCACCAACTCAATGAGAGACTGAAAGACAAATAAATGTCTGACATTCAAATGAGTTAATGGAGAGAAAAAAAAAACCCACAAAAACCTGTATAAACGTAAATGTAAAATAATGAATGTAAAAAAAAAAGAAGAAAACAAAAGCGTAATGGACCACCAAAAGCACCCAAGAACTGAGAGATGGACTAGCATTTGGGAAGAGCAGGTGTACATACCTCCTGAGGAAAGACAACAGCCAAAATCATGGGAACAAACAAACAAACGAACAAACGAAGAGGAAAAGAAAAAATAAATAAATTGAATGATAAGGAATTATAGCACCACAGTTCTGTTAATACTAGCTCCAAGGAGGCTTCAATGCACTGCTTCACAGCTCAGATTTTTTAATTAGTAAATTAGGGTCAAGAGAACTTTTTTAAACATATCTACTGTTGTTATTTGAATCCACAAGGGGGAGCTCTACTCAAGGTGAACTTGTGAAAGCTACTGTAAAGCACTACATGAGTTTTGCCTCCACCTAGGTTCATATCTGTTGTATCCAGTAATTTACCTTACACTCAAATCTGCCAGTTTAGAGTTATTGGAGAAAGTTTAAGTCTCCACTCCCTTGGTGTACTCAATTGTAAAGATTCACAGCAAATGGAAGATTAAATTTCACTTCACACATTCATGCCTTTTTTCCTAAAGTCAGTGTGAATCTGTACAACAGAGAGATTTTAGAGGAAACAGAGGATGAAGAGTACAGGGGTCCAGGGTTGTGCTTTTCTGCTTGTAGACTGTGAACAGTAAAAGAGCCAGTTGATATCCTGTGAAACATTTGTAACAATACAGGTTACAAGAAGTAAATGTGTGTATGTATGTGTAACAGGATGAACTATATGCACGATGCCTGAGTCAGATATGTGCAAGGGTGGGGACAAAAAGAACTAGTAAACATTTCATGAAAGAAAAGAATAATTGGAAATACCAAGACACACCTTTATTGTTTAAAGAATGTACACCCTCACAAATAAAATTTGATTTCTAAACTTACTATACTTGCATGGTTGCATATGTGCATACATTTGATTTATAAGCTATTAAAGTATTACTGTAAATAATTCAAGGGCCTCTAGATGTAGTTGTTTGATCTCAAGGCCATATTTATGATATATTAAAGCAGAGAGAAATGTCTTTAGATGATTGAGTGTGTTCATACATGCTCATAGTTAGCTTAGCACACTCACACCTTTGCATACACAAACACAGGTCGTTGACCTCAGGGAATACGTGGGCCTTCACGTTATGCAGGATGATTTTCACTCTTGAAATAATCTAATAGGTGCTGGTATGACAGCACACTGCAAATACTGTACATCTACTGGCACAACCACGCTGATGAGAACCTTAATTTTGGCAATTCATTATGTGCCCTACTAACTGTATTTCCAGTGTCACTCACCCAGTTTTAATAGCCAGCCCTCTCTGTCTGGATTGAAGAAAGTGTGTGTGAGATCGTTGCCATCGTCCTCTGGGATTTTGAACGGCTCGTTTTTGATGCTGTCATACAGATTCTACAGTAAGAAGAGAGTTGGCCATAATAAGGACCAAAATACAAACCAGGTCTGAGATAAGAGAATGGAGAAATCACAGCAAAGTCTGAAAGCCATACTCACTCTGAGCAGGTCTTCAGGTAAGTCTCCTCCATCGTTGATGCCTCTGTTCATGGAGATGAATCGTTCCACAGAAGGCTTGTCCTTCACATTCGGGTTATGGAGGCTGGTGTTTAACATGATGATGGCAAATGACAGGATGTAACAAGTGTCTGTAACACACACACACACACACAGCAATCATACTATGTGAAAGATAGCAAAAGGTTGCTGTTTACCATAAAAATGCTGCCAGTGCTTAATGTGATGTTTAAATATAAATGTGAATTAGCTGAGCTGAAAGGAGTGTACTTATGGGACCGCATTTATACAGGAACAGCCAGGCAAAGCTTCATTAGCAAGGGGTGTGGGCAGGAGTGAAAGACTGCTCGTGGGCAGTTAAGAATGCATGTGTGTTTTTGAATGTGCATGTTCGTTCGTGTGTGTGGATGCACACTAAAAGACCCGCACACAGCTGACACAGCAGCACTCTATCTGGCCCGTTAGGCTGCTGAGAAGTCCTATGCATTATTCACATCCATCTGCATCCATGTTAGATGCAGCTGATTGTCTGCAAGGGGCATAATTTCCCAAAAGCCAGAAGGCACAGTTCACCTCAGCAGACTTTACGTCTGCTAAATAAATTAGTTTAGATAAGAGTTCCATTGGCATGCCATTAGATCTCAGTTCAATATGGAAACATACTGGATGTGATGTTATTCATCAAGACATCTTTATGGCTTTTTATGACAGCACTGAAAGCCGGGTTAAAGCATGACGCCGCTACCTGTGGACTGGAAAACGCCAGGGTTGCATTGGCAGTAGCGCTGTGCAAAGGCCTCCATCATGCGATCGATCTTCTGAGCTTCTCCTGGTAACCGAAAACTCCACAGGAACTGTCTGTCAGGGGACACAGCTCAGTAGTCAGCAAAAGGCTCACTTCCACTGTGAAAAAGGTGAATTTATTCTCAAGCACCAGACTGAAACTGACAGCTGCATCCTTATGAACCAGAAATAAAGCGACTATTACCTATGCTTTACATAAAAAAAAAAGGGACTGAGCTATGAGGATCAAGCCAAGGACTTAATGAGTAGGTAGCAGACCTTGGGAACATGTCATCTTACCTTAGGGCCTGAACCAGATTGAGGTCTGTGAACTCATGAAGCTCCACAAATGCATGGAGGACTTGGATATTGAAATCATCTCTAGGGGAGAAAAAACATGGCACATTTTCATTCCCACTACAAGACAAAATAATAGAGCTTCAACAATGTTCTTTAGTGATGAAACTGATGATTAATTCCTTGATTAACTGGCTAATCGGTCCAAAAATATGTCAGAAAATTAGCATACAATTTCAAATTTTGACTGATTATTGTCCAAAACAAATAAAGAAATAGGTCAATTTCTGATCACACAAGACATAGAAACGCAACAAATCGTCCTAAGAAACTGGAACTAGACAATGTTTAGCATTTTACTTGGAAAATAATGAAACAATTTAATCAGTTAAGACAGACGTAAAAGATCACAACCCATTAACAAATCTCCAAAATGAAATTTTAAAAAGGCATTTCATGGATTCTAAGAAAGGGTAAAACTAACCTGTGCTGGGATGGAAGTGGCTTGTTCAAAGCTGTTTATAAAAATAATCTCTGCTTCATTTAAAAAGTAGGCCCCATCAGAGGCCTCAGCTCAGGCTCTGATCTGGCTCACATGGGCTGATCAGTGATATGCAGTATACTCAATGCTGTGTATTAAACTTCAATACTTTTATGGTATCAATCAACTTACTTCAATACGTTTTAATATCAAAAAATGTTCTACATTTTTATTTAATGATGTTAACAGAACTTTAGCTTGTTTTAAATAGATTTAGTTTTTATGTTATGACTACTTTATGCACAGAAATGCCAAGGAAATGAAATATAATGCATGTTTTGCTGTTAAGACTGATTTTATAAAAGTGGTATCATTTAGGAACCAATACTGAAGTCAAGGTATCAATATTGAAAACTCTGGAATGATGCCATGCCCTACAAATACCCCAATCATAGCCAATGAAAGTGGACAAACACCCCTGACCCCTCTTCATCATCTAATCTCATTCATGACATCATTCCCAACCTCCAAGCCCTTCAGAGTAAATGATCTGCCCTGAGGGATCAAGGGATGACTCCAAGGAGCTCTTATTGACAGAGTTCATATCCAGTCATTACCATTCCCAGTGGACAAGTGACCAATCGTATCTCAATGTTCCCATGCTCCTTGAGTCCCTCTTTGTACAGCCAGAAACATTCGGAGTACTGATAACAATCAAACTGAGTGCACCCCTCAACAGCCTGTGCTCCATTTCCTGGTTTGATCTCACAGACCACACCCTGACTGTAACACTGCCTGACTGTAATACTGCCTCCCTATAGTCCCTGAGCAATGCATACCATAGATTAAGACCTTCAGTATTTCCGGTATTATGTGTTCACTTTAACAGTGGTGATCTCGGCTCTCAAGTGAAACCTTTCATTTCTTTCAAACACATGCATGCCTGAGTTGTGAGCATTTTAATCACTGTTACTTAGAAATGAGTAAGATAATCAAAGACAGATGGAGGCTATTGAGTAACAGACATCGTCTTGAGGGGGGTGGTCTAAATGTGGGACTGATATATTATGTTTGGAAAAGGATGGGGGTGTGCCTGACCAAGAGGAAGCAGAGCAATATGGAAAATATGCACTCGCATTTTGATGCTTTTATCAGCCACATGGATGGGTGATGGAGAGAATGAGAGTGAAGTGGTTGGCTAGAGGACAAAAAAACAAAAGCCAATCTTTATCCTGACCTTTCTCCGAGGTAATCTCCAATGGCTGTTTTGTTGAGGCCCTCACCCTTGTAGAGAAACTGAGCAATGTCACTGCTGGTGTTCTTCAGCAAGTCATTCTCAATCAGGAACTGGATCCCCTGAGAATGAGAACAGACCCCAGGTTTTATACATGCTTTTGAGAACAAAATCATATTTCTGGAGAATCATGACAGGTGCTCCCACCTACCTTTTTGGGGTCCATGTTAAATTTCTTACGACCCATGGCCACCTGCTTATTCCTCTGCATATTTTTCCTAAAAAAAAAAAAAATCAGAATGTTGGTTGTTAGTTGTTCCTGATGTGAATGAACCAACTCTACAGACAATATGCAGCAAAATTACTGCTCTGAAAATTAAGACAGAGAAAGTGTATTACAGAAACAGAATGTCCAAACTGACAAGGAAGGCCAGGTCTGTCCTAGGATGCTCTCTGGACCCAGTAGAGGAGGTGAGAAAGAGGAGGATGATGGCCAAACTGTTGGCAATCATGGAGAACACCTCACACCCCTTACACGACACCCCGAGTACCCTGAGCAGCACTTTCAGTGTCAGGCTGCTCCACCTGTGGAGCAGTACTGCTCCTTTCTTGCTGCTGACATCAGAATACACAACCTCCATCGCTGATTGCACAGCTTAAAGACACTGGTCACTTAAATGTCTATTGCCTCCCTATCAACAGTCAGAACTTTAACTTTGCACAAATGTCACACACAACCACACTACTCACGACACACATATGTGCTTTGTATGTAGTCTTTATCATCATCATCACCATTATTATTAATATTATTATCTGGCTTACAAAGCGTGACAATGCCAACTTTGAGCGCCACCAGTTTCCCAGGGTGATGTCTTCAGGTATTTTATTTTACCCAACATTCCAAGACCTAAACATTTTCAATTTAATCTCATCTAAGACTAAGAAAACCAAGCAATAGCCTTAATTGAGTGTAACCCATAATTTTTTTTTAGAATTTTTGCTTGTTAAAGAATTCAATCATTGCTCCACTGTGCATACATTTAGATTTTTTTTTTTTGTTACATTTTAAATGACTCACACTCAACCTGCCTGCAAAACTAACAAACTGATGGTCCAGCATCATACTTAGTCCACAGTGGCTCAGAGCATTGCAATAAATGTATTCACCTTGTTCCTGAACGCATCTTTCCCATTAACATTTTTCATTTGTCTGGCAGGGGCCGGTCTTTCTTCGCCCTCGATTGTGATGACAAAGTGTTGATGTTTCCCATTGTGCATATGGGAACATCTCAATTCTCAGGCCATGAGTTATTCAGGGGTCAAAGTGCACTGCAAGAGCCCACCTTCACCATGGTTACAGCTGTGTCCCCAGCCAGTGAGAGGTCACCGCTTCTTCCTACTGATTCACTCACACCAGCATTCCTTCAGCTTTTGTCTCAACTAAACAGATGCTCCTCAAACACAGTAACATGTACTGCTCTCAGTAAATGGATCACAGGAGACTGATCACAAGAAGGTCCAGTAACCCTTAATGGATTTTAGATCCAAGTGAAAGTGTTTTAGGAATATGCTGTAGTTGATGGGATCCCTATCCACTTGAGTAGACCAAATCCAAGCCCTCCCTCCCCTGAGACCATCCATTGTCTGTTTCTGCCCATACACCCACTGCATTATTCAATGAGGCCTCCATCACGGAGGTGTGCCTGATGAAACATTTAAAATGTCTTAAAAACTTTGCCAATTTAGGGAGGGTATTTGGTGCTGGGATGGCCCAACTTGGTCATCAAACATGAATAATTGACAGCTTCATTGGCTAAGTTAATAGACGGCAAACAGGCCGGTTTAGGCCACAGACGGAAGGAAATGTCTGTGTAAGGGAGTGGAGTCAGCTCTTACCTCTCCTCAGTGGAACCCAGGTTCTCAATCTCACTTGTCACTTCTGCTATCTCATCCTTCAGCCGCTGCAGAGAAAAACAAATATTAATCTAAATATGTAACAGGTATGAGAGAATTAATTCATCAGTTGTCCACCAACTTACTTGAGGAGGCACATAAAGAGTGACCAATCAAAATCAAATCTGACTTTTTTCATTTTCTGTACATACAACAATAGTGCAGGAGAACTGAGACGGTGTTTCCCTGGGATCCAGAATAAATACAACCACAAGGTAACAACTTACATACACACAACAGTAAAACAAATAAAATAAGAATTTCATTAATGAAAGTGTCCAATTAAATGGCTGTGATTAAAGTGCTCAGTCAGCGTGACTGCCAGTGAGGTGCACCAGTAGTGCATAGTCCAGCTCAACTGTTCAGTTGTTCAGGAGTCTAACAGCTGGTGGAAGGAAGCTGTTTAGCAGTCTGGTGGTTCTGCTCTTAATACTCCGGTACCTTTTTCCTGATGGCAGGATTTCAAAAACTCTTGTGCAGAGGATGTGAGAGGTTCCTGACAGTGTTCAGTGCCCTGTTACTATATCAGCTCTGGAAGAGGTCCAACATAAACAACATGCAAAGTATTTGTAGAGAGACACCATCATCTCTGAATCCCCTCTGTTTGTCTTTAAAGCCAGGTGGACTTTTATCACATAATACTCACTTCAAAGCCATCAGCCACACAGAGAGAGCAAAATGGCTTTTCAGGCTGTTGGTGAGCAGAAACATTACACACTGCTGTACATCCAGATCTCCTCATTTCCCTTATACTGAAATCTGATAATAACAGTCTATATCTCATGTCAGAGAGTGTGTGCTTGTGTGTTGTCCTAAACAATCCCCTCATTCTGAATTTGATTAGGCAGAGAACAGTCGGGGATAACCTCAATACAAATGGAGTAAGCACAAAAGTGGATTATATTTTGTGTAGCACTCTAGTGATTAATGGACTTAGAGGCAGATTTAAATGATCAAGCCAGGCCTGGTGGTGCCAGAGTGGCATGGTAAGATCACTGAAGAGGCTAAAGGATGGAGCGGGTGATGTCAGCTTGATTAAAGACTAGAAAAATAGACTGTAGTAAAAGAGAAGTCCTGTAGAGCCTAACAGGCTTCAATGCTCCAAGTAAAGGTTACAGTCATCGAGGTTCTCCATTCATATCCCACCACAGTGATAGCATATCATTTCTCATGCACATTACTAACTCACTATACACCAAACCACAAAGGGAACATCTGTGTTTCCCAAGCCTGTGCAATCACAACACATTCCTCAGATGCTTGCCTCTAAAAACAAAGGCTGTGCTCAACCCGGAAAGCGGGTGGTTGGGGTGGGGTGGGAGGCCTTGACATGAAGGCCCAGCAGAGGTGGGTGTTGAGGTGCACAAGAGGGGTCAGTGTGCAGAGCACAGAGGAAGAGAAAATGGGGGCAGCAGAGGCAGCCAGAAAAGGGGGGGGGGAGGGCAACAATGGTGGTCTGGGCTCATAAAAGTGAGGGTGTCAGATCACACCACTATGTTTGTCTGTCAGAACCAGCAGAAGATATCATCTGGAGGCCCCTCTCTGCCAGGGCATGACAGCCTGTTACCCCTGTGTGGCATTTGCTTGTGGAGCTGGTTATTCAGTGGCAGCAGTGAGAGCACTGAGCAACTAGCTAGAATAATCAGCTGAGCTCTAGGGTTAAGGCAACAGCCCAAACTAAACCACCATGAACAGGAATCAAACAAAGCACTTTAGCCAAGCTGATCTGAATCCTCACTCTCTTTTGGAAATCAGATCAGTGCATAAGAGATATTCTACTGGCTGCATGAGCACATCCCTCATAAAAGAATAATCCTATTTTATCTGTATGCAAAATCATTTGATTGTTTTATTTTTTTAATTCATATTCATACCAACATTTCAATAAAACCACCCAAAACAGATAACTTTTTTTCATAAACAGAGGCATCTGTTGACAGTAAAATCTACAAAAACAATAAACACAGATGGCGTGCTAAGGAAGTGAACACTTTGTAGGAAATATCTCACATTCCACTTGGACTGAAATGTTCAGAAGACGTCTTTGTAAATGAGGATGGGAGAAAAAACTAGACAGGAGGTAAATGTTGAATCAAAAAGCAGTGGAGCTGCAGCTATAGCTTCAAGTGTCTGAATCTTGTAGGTAGGAATTGCTGACCCTCTCACCCACTGAGTCACTAAATCTCAAGCCTGGTCATTTTTATTGGCGCATCACCTAAATATTTTATTTTAAGTTCCAAGCAGCATTGTTTGCATTAGACATACACACTTATATGCCCATACAAAGTTAAAATAGCCATTTTTTTCTCTATTAGATTAAATACCAGTGAAAATCAAGCTGCTTATTTTTGTGTCTTTTTTAAATTACCGAGACCTTTCACTGTTACCAACATTTAAAAAGTGTATTTGAGGAATATGTGACTATCTCATTTTTTCTATAAAGGATGAGGGTAAATAAGTTTATAAGAAACATTTTCCACAGTACAATACATGAAGTTCAGTACATACAAACTTACACCAGCACTCGTGCTCTTTTCCCAGTATTACCTGAATGTCATCGAGCAGCTCCTGCTTGCGTCGGCGGATATTCTCCAGCTCCTGCTTCTCCTCTGGTGTGAGGTCGTCCGGCACTGTGGAAAGATGAGAGAGAAGATGAAGTGTTAAGGACAGTGCTGCACAAAAATAAGACACCTTTAAGCTGTTTCTATGTACATATGTAACCCTTGATACATATCCCATGTGGGTATCTAACTGCACAGAAATACAGCAGCTGATACATGATCAAAACACGAGAGAGGAGAGGTTTCCTTCTGTGTTACTGTATCAATGTGGAATCAAAGAAGCCTCCACAATCAGTGCAAACACTACCAGTATGAAAACCCCAACAACGACAGCAAGCCACAAGTCTGCAGCAGCCAGGTGCACTGTGCAGAGGATTTAACTTTCGTGTGAGACACAAATGTGACAGGTCTCAAAGGGCTGCCACACCTGCTGTCACTCACACTATACAAGGTTTTAAAATTAGCTCTGTTTGTGCCAAGGACTGAGGGGCGAGAAATGTGTACCGATTGATGGACAATGTTTATGTGTGTCTGTGTGAGTGCAAATCTAATCTGCACTCAAACCACAAAGACATATCTCGGGTATCAGCATTCTAATTGTAACAGAAGTTCAAGCACAATTTTAGCACTGCATTTTCCTCTTTTTATTTCAGAATTAGTTGCTATTGTATACTAGGTGAGTCTTGCATTGGAATTAACAGGTATCAAGACCACACATAAGCCTAAAATAAGGTCATCTCGGATTGGCTACTAGTAATAATTTTACTGCTAGCCCTATGAGCATAAAGTTAACATGTAACTTTCTGTGCATTCCTAAAAGCGTCTGTGATGCCTGCAGAGAAAAAATTCGGCTGCTTATAACTTGTTCTCACTTGCTAAAGAAATGCATGAAATGACGCATGATAAAAAATGCTGACCTCCATTTGTGACTGCATACTATAAACTAATAATATTGTTATACGTTTGTGTACGAGCCAAGAAGCACAAGTAACATATAAAATGTCCACTGCTGGAAACTAGACACATAAAGCACATGGTGCTGCAACAGGCACAACCATATATATATTTTTCAAATAGCTGACAATATTATCTAGTAACAGAGGTAAATTAAGAAAACTTTATATTTATCTCCAGACCGTGTTTGCCTGCCCTTATTTGTTTTTCCCTTAATTTTAGTCATAAGCTGAACTTCCTGTGAAAGGAAATGAAAACCTGCGTCCTCTGAGATGTGAGAAACCAATAACTGTTGCAAACTGCTTTTTGGCCGACATTTGTACTGAAAGATTAGTGCAATATCATAAGATGTGTGACCCGAGTGGCAAATCAGCAGCCACCCTGTGAACACGAACAGTGCCATCGTGAACTGCACAAATCACAGTGGTTATGTTAGAAGATCATCTCTGTCATTCAGTGGTCCTGTCTGATTCTCCAAGCACAAACCCCCTTCTGTGACCTCTCCTCTTCCCCTCATCACCTCAGCAGTAAGGTTTAAAGGTGAAAGGGGTCAAAACTGCAAATGGTTAACAAGGTAATGGTTACAGAGTAATGGGGACGAGGACAGAAGCATCATCAACACACAGCCTTCTATTCACATTTCACAGCCGTCTATGACACAACTCTACGTACAACGACCCTTAAAAATCTTGTTTCTTTGACTGTCTTTCTTTACTCTCCTAAAATAAAAACATTCATCTAATGTTGGTCCAATACAATCCTAATAAAACAACAGAGGTAGAATTCACATTTAAAATTTGAGCAGCTTACGTGTGGACATAGTGCACCAGCAGTAAAGGATCAGCGGAACGAAGGTTACAAAAGCCAAACAATATCTGGCACAGCAATCAATAGGGCAAGGGCAAGGACAGGACCAGCCATGCAGAAGTTAGGCGCTTGGCCAAACGCACACAGACACACAACTTCACAATCAGCAAAACACAAAGGTCGCTTGTTTCAAATTTCCTGAAAGGAAGAGTTAATCCAAATGTAGAGCATTTCTGATATTCAGCAATTAAAATATATCCCAGAGAGAAAATCCATGTGAAATAATGGAGACTGTTTATTTTAATAACAGAAAGCATGCTAACCTAAACATCTTGAGGCAAATAGCCCTGACATTCACTGGAATGTCTGCTAATATTTAACAAAGTGATAACAGACAGTGGAAGTGCAAAACAGGAGCTTTATAACAGGCTGTTGAGGAGCTCCAAAACAAAGCCATGTTGTCTTCCTGTCTTGTTTCTAGACAGCTGGGGGAGTACGAGACCCCACTCGAAGGTGACCTTTCACACATCATACCTCACAGCCGACAGCATCCTGGCATGGAAACCACAGAAGTCATGGTTAGCTTAGCATGACTGTTTTCACTTAAAAGGGGGTCTGACAGGACAATGTAGAGCAAAGACAGACAACAAAATAAACAATTGCTTTCAATTTTTTTACTTGGTCAGTGAGAATCTCACGTCAGAAATACATGTTTAAGAAACTGCCAACTGAAAAGGCATGACAGCATGCACACAGAGGTTCTATTAAGTCTGAGGATGCACGAGTCGTCTTACATTATTGACTGTCTGCCAATAGACTGGATGAGTTAACGTCAAACTGAGCAAACCCAGGGCTGCTCGTGTGTTTAACGGCACAAACGGCACAATATATAGGACAACCTTAAAGCAAGAACTTTGTTCCTCTTTCTGGAAACAACATGATGACAAGATGGGCGGCTGGAAGGAAGCCACGTTACAGCAGTAGGACAGTAGGACCCAACACAATACAACTGCAGCATTCCAACTTAGAAGACAACCACAACGTGAAGAACTGACCGGAGTCAAGATCTGCAGATAGGACTATAATTTGACACAAGAGATGAGTCAGAAAGGAACATCTGAAGACCAAAATTGTCTCCTTCCGCAGCATTTAACACATTACTGTATTTTACTTCATAAGTGAAGAGTGATGACATTCAGGTCCTGTGGTTAAAGGGTTAGTTTCCTGCTCTACTTGCAGGCCAACTTGCCACCCGACATCATCCACATAATCAGAGTCATTCATGAAGCCGATCAATTACAGCCATCACTGCCTTTCTGCCTCCACCCAAAATAATCCAGCCCACATCAGGGAAGGGAAAGGCCCCACTCACGCTTGTGCCAGAGGTGAGGACCAAGTGTGTGTCATTTCCCAGAACACAGAAGATAAGGCGGGAACTCATCCACTTAAGTAAATGATGAAAGCTGCTATCTGGGAATGATGTTTGGCTGTTATTCAGCAAACCTCTGCGCTGCCAAGAGGCCGTTACCAGTAAAAAACAAAATGAACAAGACAGACAATAGAGAGGGTAAATTAGGTAAAGAAAGAGTGATGAGAGAATGCTTCTGTAAAGACACACTGGCTACCATAATAATACACAATGCTTGTTGATACAACTAAAAAGAAAGGTGAATGATACAAAAAAAAAACACTGGTTTGCTTTCCCTAGTCCCAAGATGTCACTTTCCTCATCTGCCCTGTCTATATGTGTTTTCAGGAGCCTTTCAGATGTAGAGGACCCCTACAGCACTCTGACTGGGACAAGCCTGCAGTGACAGGCGGAAAGAGAAACGCAGGACGCCCACATCCTCACTCCTTCACTCATGCTGCCTAGAAAACAGGTCATACAAGGGAATCACGTACACATGTACGTGGGGGCGTGCATGCAATGAGTGCAGTCATGCACCAGGTTACAGTCACATGCACTCACCTATGCACACACGTGTAACGCCCCCACATACTGATGCCTGGTGTGCCTGGCATTGCGCTCATGCTCAGCAAAATGTTTTTTGTTTCAACAGTAACACCATCCACCTTTCTGATTCTGATCCTGGTCCAATTGGACAGCCCAGCTTATCATATTCAAATCTGTTATATCGTTCTACAATATTAAATGACTTATTCAAGGTGATTCAGTTTCAGTTACAAAGATTATTATACCAATACCAGAGCTCACAGATCAGGAAACAAGGCAGCCCACTTAGAATATATGAAAATGATGCTTGTAATTAGCTGTTCCCATTAGCTTTTGTGGGTGAGGGTTGGGAGTAGTATAATCGGAGCTCTGTCCTGCTATGTCCTGGCCTTCATTACCCCAGAGTGCTGTTTAACCTAATTTATGACTCAAAAAAACTCAATACATTCCCTTTGAGTACAATCACAGTGCCCACGTCTGAAACAGTGTATCCCCTCCCCTTCAACAGCTACATCTTATTTTATATCAACTCTCTCTCCTTTGCTTATGAGAGCATCTGAAGAGTTCCTAGATCAGCAGAGCAGTTTTTAGTGAGGTCAGCGAAGATCACAGGGGAGGTGACTTCAAGGGAGATGCCAATTATAGCTCCCGCTCCCACAGCGACAGAGCCCACTAATACACATCAAGATTACCATCCTGGCAAAAAAGGCAGATGTCTCATTTCCACCCAGATCACTGAAGAACTCTCCTCAGAAAATAAGGAAATTAGAATTCTGAGTGCTTGTAAATCTCTCGGCCCGTCTCCCTGCAGATGTGACCCAATTTGTGGAGCTCCTCTCAACACACATGGACCAAAAATGTATTGGCTAAAGAAGCTCCTCACCTAGGCTGCCCCTATTGACACAGCTACTGGACAGGTTCCAAGGTACACATATATGTGTTGTTAAAAATGAATGTTCTCAGCACAGATATGAATGGTGAAATGACAGAGATTAGAGTTTCTACATGTGTTGTGTATTTTGACAGGGTCGAAGCTCTATGAAGGTTTTATACAACAACATGGAATCTCTGTGTTCACAGCAGCAGATGGAGACATCATACATATTTACAACACATTGCTACCTATGATCTGCTGACTGAGGGGATATGCTAAGAGTCCAATTTTGCAGCCTTGTTTCTGTACCTGCACATGATTACATTTTGATGAACTGCACAGAATGATCAGAGCAGATCAATGATACTGGTAGCAGGCCAGTGATCATTTCCCGCACAAGGTGCCTCCTCTGTTCTCTGTTTACAGCTTTTTTCTTTCCATTTCCTGCTACATATTTGCAGAGGAAACAGCGTCCATTTG